AAGAAACCGATTGCTACAAACCATCTGCATTAAAAAGCTAATCTATATGAGTACTGTGAACTTACTTTATTTAAGTTGAAGTAATGAGGTATTTAATTAACTCATTACCTTCAAAACTGAGTTCAAAACTCTTTTCCAATGAGTAGAATTAACTTTCAGTCAATTTTTAATGATTCTAATGCTTAGAAAGAAAATTTAAGATTGAAAAATTGTATTTGTTGTTAAATTTTACTGTAAAAAATACTGTTAAATTTACAGTATTACTCTTAGTTTTGTTTGCACTGTAGTTTTACAGCACAATTGTAATTATTAATTTACCGTGTGTTTGTAATTTTTACAGTATTACTGGTTAAATTTACAAGTGCACTGTAAATTAACAACTACAACCGTGCTATAGTTTTACCAAACTGTGCTGTAGGAACTGTGAAAATATAAATATATATATAATCTAGTTTAAAATTAAAGTGATATTTATATAACAGAAAAGGTATATTGTTTGGTTTATAATTATATTAGTTTATTCAAAAGCATACCTGTCTACCCTCCTGTTTTTCCTGGGATTCTACATTTCTATGAAGGGTGGCAATAAACATAAAAGAGCCAATCTTCCCTTTCTGTAACTCATACCGCTGAACCACCAGGGGACGTCCCTTGCTTTTAAGTGTAAATCTGTTCTGTACTTTTATTTTATTTAGGCATGGAAACACTTTGAAATAAATATAAAAAGGGTGCAATTCTGTTCCTTACCATTACATTCACAGTTGCCCCTCCAATGCAATCCTCAAAACAATCAGTTTATGTCGCGATAAGTGGTAATAAATAGACTATGTTTCCCAAATGGATTTTATACACACAATTTAAAGCGGAGTAAAAGTGGACACTCTGGGTTTTGGGTGCGTGTTCGAACAGACATATACACATAATAATAAAAATAATAATAATAATAACATCTATTCATGTCCATCTTGTTGGGTTTTATTTTAAAAACAACAAATTTAGTCTTAAATGAGCACAAACAGTTAGGAAAGCAATTGAGTGCTTTCATTATTGATCTGTGCATTTTTAAAGTGACACCTTTGCTATATATGTAATCAAATGAAAAAATCTAACTGAGAGATTCATTCACTGCTCTTTAATCAGAATGTTTAAATTATACAGTGAATTACATTTCTTTATAGCTAGTGATTTTAATTTTTATTTGCAGCTTTTGCTAATGTATATTATTGGTAATGCTTTCTAAATAAAAACAATATAAAAAAAACACATTATTGACCGTTTAAACTGTTTTTTTTTTTACGACAAACAGCTCCAGATGAACATATTTAGTAATTTGGAGAACTTCTTTTGGGTGGAGGGGGTATCCCTTTATTTTCACATCCCAATGTTGACAGGTATGTTCAAAACTTTAGCTAGGTTGTGAGAGACATTAAAACCTCTTGCTTCCTGAGCTCTGCCTGAGCCAAAGGAATGCACTTTTAGCCACTGCCCTCCACCTAAAAGCATATTATAGACAGGAAAACTAGACTTATTTTAGACTACTCTTGTCATTGTAAGAGACTCATTTTGGACTGTAAGACTTCTTGAAGACGCCGTTTGACTGCAGAACAAACAACACGTCTCAATAAAGAATTCTGCTTGAAACATGTCTCCTGGGACTGGTTCTCATTTTTTCAACACAACCAAAATTGCCAGTAATACTGTAAAGTTTACAACATTTTTTAAAAAGTGTATAAGCTAGGCAAACAGTTTTAGAGAGTTTTATGTTTCCCCATATTCAAAGAGTTAGGAGCAGTGTTGCCGGCTTTGTCACTAAATTTAGCGACTTTTCAGACCCCCCCTAGCGACAAATTTTCAAAAAAGCGACTAGCAACCAATCTAGCGACATTTTTTGGTGTTACTAGAGATTTTTATAAATGTGCCGTCGGCCCCTACCCCACCTCAGAGCACTCACAGGCGGCTCAGTCCTCGTACAGGAGTCTCTCCAACCTCTCCGGCCTGATAGCAGATTACCCCTCTGCTTACCAACGGCAAGTGATTTAGCACAACATCTTAAGGTATTTCCCTAGTACAGTCAAACCGATCTGCTTCTTCTTTGTTTTAAGTTTAAAAATTTTATTTGACCTTTTAGTCTTTTCTTGTTCACAATCAGAGAGATTTTGGTGACAGTTTCAGAACTTTATTAAGTAAAACTTATTATGTCTAAGAGACTACTGCAAATTCACTACACATCTAAACTAATATACAGTATTCAGGCAGCAATACATTTAGTTAAATTGACATGCATACATAAAGCATAGTGCAAATATAAATACCCCTTTATTAACCATAGGTTATTAAACAAACAGAAACGATTGGATGTGATGATGTCAGTAATATGCAAATTATTGTTTGACGTAATCTAGTGGCATTTAGTGACTTTTCAGGCAGAGCTTAGTGCCTTTTCATTCCAAATAGTTAGAAACACTGGTTAGGAGCTTGCAGTTAAATGCTCAAGAGGCGTTTCGAAGATGGCCGCCGAATAAAATGACTTGCCTTAAAGGCACTTTGGTATAAATAATTCTCCCACTGTCATCGTGTTTACAAAATAGCAAGCGCTTAGCACTTGACATGAAACAGACACCCAGCATCTCCACACACTGTAGGCGTTCTCTCGTTGAAAACAAAAGGATCATTTCTCAGAGGGTTATGATCGTGGTTAGGAAGACTGACAGTTTGTCATGTGTATTGCACAATGGGAGGTATGCATGGCTATGGCTCTAAGGGTTCTTTTAGGTGTTATCCCCTTTAAAACCACACGCCAGTCACTTTCAGACAACTCTCAGTGGCATAATGCTTTTTATCTTTAGTTCACAGCATCTCACAGGACTTCAGGGCTTCTTTCTCTTCAGCTTGTTCAGTTTTTTTTTTATGAACTGATTCGTGATGTGCTTTAGAAGAGTCTAAAATTTAGCTTTGATTATATTTTATTTTAAAATGACATTGTTTTTTAGTCTAATAGAATTTTTAGTAATCAAAGAATTGTTCATTTATTTGCTTGAGTAAGTACACTTTAAAACCTAAAAAGTTAAGGTAACTCAAACCATTTGAGGAAAGCGATTGCAACAAACCATTTAAGTTTAAAAACTAATCCTAATGAGTACTGTAAACTTAATCCATTTGAGTAAACAAAGCAATTTGAGCACAGCAAAATTCAATAAAAGAAGAGAACTCAAACCAATTGAGTACTGTAAAACCCAATAAGTTAAGGCAACTCAAACCGTTAAAAGAAACTGATTGCTACAAACCATCTGCATTAAAAAGCTAATCTATATGAGTACTGTGAACTTACTTTATTTAAGGTTGAAGTAATGAGGTATTTCATTAACCCATTACCTTCAAAACTGAGTTTAACATTTTTTTTTTCAAATGAGTAGAATTAACTTTTATACAATTTTGAGTTAACTACACTCATTTCATTTGATTAAGTTGACTGTTGGGTTTTACAGTGTATATTAAAACAGTAATATTGTAAAATGTTATTATTGAAATAGTTAATATCTAATTGAATATTTTTAAATGTACATTCTTTGGACGACAATAAAGAAAAAAGAAAATAAATAGAAAGTTTTATACATTCCAATGACAGATTTCATTCATTCATTATTGTATTATGTTTTATGTATTATGGTGGAAACACATTTGTTTTGGTTATGTGTGGCTGACATTCAGTATTTTCAGATCTGTCAGGTTATACAGGTAAGTTTGACTGGCAGAAACAGATTATATTAAATGGCATGCATTTACATATACACAGTGCTGTGTAAATAAATCATTTATTTCAGTGTCTTAGATTTCATGAATATTTTTCCCCGCCATGCTTCTTTTGTGATAATCTGCATGCTTTGCTGTTTGGTGACAGGCTTTCAGGCATTTATGAACTGACATGTGTAATCATCTTCTTTTTTCTATCAGTGACTAATTAAGTACACATTCCCAAAAGGCGTCCCAGCAGTCAAACTGTTAACATAGTGAAAGTGCACTTCAGCTCAAAAATATGCCATTGGAGGTGATTTTAACACTTGTGTCAGCCTGCAGTTTGGCATGTAGACTAAAGAAAAGTCCATTTTTGTAGTTAAAGCATTAAATGTTTGAAATTATAGACAAGCAGAGTATCAACTTTATGGGAGTAATATCTGGATTTCATGTTAGCAGTTTTAGGCAGGTCTGAAATAGGAATAAATTCATATTTTGAGACCATGAGCTTTGTTATTTTATAAATTATAAATATAAATTTATAAATATATTATATAATCGTAATATTTTATCAGAATCAGAATGAACTTTACATACATACATACATACATACATACATACATACATACATACATACATACATACATACATACATACATACATATATATATATATATATATATATATATATATATATATATATATATATATATATATATATATATATATATATATATATATATCTCAACACAAGAACACAGAATGACATTTGAATAAGTAGAAAATTAAGTAAACAATACAAGTTATAATATAAATATGTCATGTTATGTACTTTGTAATTATATATAGTTATAATTCTGAAAAAAAAATATTTACATCTAGATGAGTTATGTGCATTGTTAATTTTTTAAACTGTACAAATAAGAAATAAAAGTAATAATGCACAATGGATCTTATAATGTGTCATTACATATAATCTTATAAATAATCTCATGAATAATTATGTAATTGTAATGTGAGGCATGTTGACAACAGAGATAAGGATATACGGAGTGTCTCTCCTGCTTCAGCAGCGTGTCCCGCTGGTTATAAACGATGAGGCGGAGGCCTTTTCAATTAACATTTCATTAGGCCCAAAGTTTCTCTTAATATCCATATATCCAGAGATCACTGCAGCCTCAAGTCTTTTTGATCTTACCCATCAGTATCAACTTCAACTGAGACATTAGTATTTAAAAACCCTCACTTCCTTTCTTCTGTTTCCGTAGGTCTGTACTCCAGACTTGGTGGTGTTTCTGGCTTGTTCTAATCAGCGTCTGAAGGAGCGCCTGGAGAAACGAGCAGAACAGCAGGGTCGCCCAGACGACAACCCTAAAGCTATCGATCGACGCTTGACTAATTTCAAACAGAATGCCATCCCCCTGGTTAAATACTTCCAAGAAAAAGGCCTCATCGTCACAGTAAGGAATATGTTTGAATATTTATTGTCACAAACTTAAAAGAGAACGTAGGCTTGGGTAGAACTCTTTAATAAAATAATGTGCTGAAGGAATTCGAGAACTGCCTTCTAAAAAGACAAGTAACACTTGTTCATGAGGTCCTGGAAAGTGCTTTGAAATGTGCATTTTTGTTCTGTGTTCGACGTCATTATAACTGAAACAAGAAGACAGAACATGATATAGAATAGCCCCTCCCATTTAAAAAAAACAGCCAATAGTAATTTGTTTTCATCCCAGCTCTGCCAGTAAGAGTGGTTGACCTTAAACGCATTAAATGAAAAGCAAATGAAAAGCTTTATGAAGTGGGCAGGACATGTCAGATACTAGAGAGCGTTTGATTGGTTGAAGGATTTGATGAGAAACTAAAATATGAGGTGACCTGGGAAAAAAATATTGATTGATTTTTGACAAACTGAGGGCATTGAGTGTTTATATCCTCTAATAGCTAGTTGTATGACTGTTTTGGGGCACATTAGCTTATAGACTATGATTCTGATCCTTTTTCAGAGACTTCAAGTGTAATTTGTTCAGATATGTCATTTTAAATGCAAATTTGACAATGGTTGAGATGTCTTTGCTATGACAACTTGACATAAGCATATACAGCACAACTTGTCTTTAATTTTGTCTATGTGTGTGTGTGTGGGGGGGGGGGGGGGGGGGGGGGTTGTTGTTTGTTTTTAATAGATTCCACATTTTTAGTTCCCAATGCCCATTATAAACCCACTTCTATTAAAATGTACAGAATTATTTAATGTCTAAACTGTTAAATTAGAACCGAATGTCCATCATAAATCCACTTCCATTATAATGAACAGACATATTTAATGTCTATGTTTAAATTAGCACTCAATGTCTATTTTAAACCCACTTCTGTTAAAATGCACAGACATATTTAATGTATAGTTTGTTAAATTAGAACCGAATGCCCATTATAAACCCACTTCCATAATGATGGACAGACATATTTTACTTCTAATCAGTTAAATTAGAACCCAATGTCCATTATAAACCCACTTCCATAATGATGGACAGACATATTTTACGTCTAATCAGTTAAATTAGAACCCAATGTCCATTATAAACCCACTTCCATAATGATGGACAGACATATTTTACATCTAATATGTTAAATTAGAACCCAAAGTCCATTATAAACCCTCTTCCTTTATGAAGGACAGACATATTTAACATCTAAACTGTAAATTAGAACCCAATGCCTATTACAAACCCACTTCCATTATAATGGACAGATATTTTTTACGTCTAAACTGTTAAATTAGAACCCAATGTCCATTAAAAAACCCACTTCCGTTATAATAAATAGACATATTTAACATCTAAACTGTTAAATATAGATTTTTGATTGGATGACTAAAGTCCAATATCATGGACGGCAAGCTCAACGATTGGTGAAACTAAACTAAACTTCTAAAGTAACATTTTTTTTATCAAACTGAGCTGAAGCTGTTTCAGTTTACTAGAACAAGACCTGTATTCTACACTACTCTCCTGCCTGCCTGAATTTCAGGAATGATCCACAGTTTGAAATATTATGGCTTTTACTCCATTTTCTTCATCTGTGTTAAGCTGCTTTGAGACCATTTACACTGACATGCATGAAGGGTCCAAATTGATTAAAAAGATGGATACCAGAAAGAACTACACCTCGGAGATTTAATGGCTACCTCTTTATTTTAAATGCATAGACATTTAACAACATCTCAAATCACATTCATACTTTAGCATTTGTTAGAGTGTTAGCCTGACTGTCGCATCCCTTATCAATAGATAGGTGCTAATTAGTAACTAGTTAAAAAAAATTAAATGACTTTTCTGCTGAAAAAGTAAGGGATTACTTTTCATTGAAAGGGTAATTTAATTACAGTTACTTAAAATATACTTGCCTAAAATGCCTTGCAAAAATTCAACAATTCTGTTTAAATCAGTTTAGAGAATTAGAGTAATTGTTTCATTATTATTTTTGCCATACAAATATCTTTGCAAAATAACTTGATGTTTCAAAGGTGTTACGATTTGGCTTAAGAAAAAATGAATTGAAATTACTATCAATACATATTATATGAATAAACTATGGTATCATTATTACTTTGAAACTTTTTTGTTTTGATTTAATACACGTTTAACATTTTGCAATAAAGGTAAAAAAAGTATTGTCAATTTAAAATAATTAAAAGTTTAATTACCTTGGGTATGCTTTAAGATTTATATAGATTTAAGTAGTCTATTAAACAGGCCCGGCCCTAACCAATTTGGCGCCCTAGGCAAGATTTCAGGTGGCGCCCCATCACATCGCAGTAAATTCCACTGCTAGTGTATAGTCATAAGAAACTAAATCGCTTTTTGAGGGACTACTACAAGCTGGGAAAACGTCAGATAAATATGTCAATGCAATTAACATTACTGCTGAATAGATCTAATATTTACACATTTGCTTGAGGAAGAAATGATGGGGGTAGTTACATTACTGTTACTATTTTCCATAACATCTATGCCCTTCCATAACATTAGCTGACGTTAAAACTAACAGATAGCACTATAGATATTTATTGATTAGCAATGTTATGCCATCTGTCAACGTTGGGATGTAAAAAATATGGGACAACAAATAGCTTCAAATGATAGAAAAAATAGCAAACAATATAAAATATTGGCAATAAAATAAAAGGTTTACCCTTTTAAAAACAATGGCTTATACAGAAATTAAATAAAGCTATAAAATCTATTTGACTTTTAATTGTATTTGCACATTGATTAAAGTCACTATAGTTATTTAGTGAAGACCAGCGAATTAATCTCTCATTAATCTCTCACTCACAGAGGTGTTAATGTAAGAATGCACAGATCTACTGTATATGAATGAATGAAGCATTCGACTACTGTAGTAACTGTTTGTGCTCATTTAAGAGAAAATTGGTTGTGTTTAAAATAAAACACGCAGGACAGAGCAAAAAAAAAAAAAAACGAAAAAAAATAAGCACTTTTCCGACGGTACCTTACTGAGAGCTCCACTCCGCGCGAGCTCAGCTCTACCGGCTAAACGAATATGCCCGGCTAAACGGAGCAGTGGTCATAATGTCGAGCGAAAAAAAGAAAAAGACTGCTGTGAAACATAACCAGCTTTTTCTTTTTGTATGAAACACACTTTAGATCTTTTTAGGCTAAGATGTTTTGCAGTTATTGTCATCTATCACTGAATGTGTGTCAGGAATATCAAAAACAAAACCAACTTAACCGCGCTTATTTCTGGCGCCCCCCTGGATGTACAGCGCCCTTAGCATTTGCCTGTACTGCCTATGCCACGGGCCGGCCCTGCTATTAAATATATGTCTTATAGGGCTCTATTTTAATGATCTAAGTGCAAAGTCTAAAACACATAGCGCAAAAGCATTAAGGTCACGTTCAAATCCACTTTTGCTATATTTTTAGGATGGAAAAATATGCTTTGCCCCCCCGGCGCATGGTCTAACAGTGTTGTGCTTATTCTCTTATTGAGTTATGGATGTGTTTTGAGCATAATGTGCGTTAATCCAATCAGTGTCTCATCTCACATTCCCTTTAGGAGTTATAGTAGTTGCATCCCGTCATGGTGCATTTGCTATTTACAAGTCGGACTTTGTAATTGGGAAAACTGAATGATTTGTTAGCGCGAAAACAGTTAAACTGACCGTCTGCAGCACAAGGATAAAGAACAAGCTTCCACCTTTCTGCCTCTTTACTTTCTCTGTACTTTCACTCTTCACTTTATTCCTTTACTTTTGTGGATAAGGGCATGGTGTTGTATGTACTCCAGTGAAGACATCCATTCTGTGTCAGAACTATTTCTAAATTCAGTTCTAATTTCCTGCAACTAAATGAACAATAATAACATATATAAGTATGATAGTTATATCCAAACACACGTCCAATTCTTATCCCCCAAATGGTGATGCATACGTCTCCAAAACCCAAAAGGTGGACAAATCTAAACTTGTTTTTATTAAAACAAATATAATTGTGCATATAAAAAAAATAATACTGATAATAATATTATACAGATGCAGATTGGCATTAATAAACTGAAAAAAGCACATCCATAAGTCCACAAAGTGGCGCAAATAGATTTGCTATTTAAACAATGTGGCGCAAAATGCGAAAATTACAGTTGTGCTGGTCTGAAAATAGCAACAAATTGCATCATACATGTCTTGCGCCTTATTACTCCGGGTGTATGATAGGGCCCATAGAGTAATTGGGTTATGTTTCAGACAAGTAATTAGAAAGGAATTTAAATACAGTTTTAATCACTTTTTTGATTTAATTTACCCAACACTGCCTATAAGAAAGATTTAGGACATGTTGGTGTCAAAATGAGCCACAATTTCACAAAGAGTCATGATTTTTTTTCCCCCCGCTCTTTTCAGATGCACTGCTTGTTGTATTGTTATCTCTCTCTGTCAGTATGAGTGATTCGCGTGCAATAAATGAAGGGAAATAGTCAGGCTGGCAGAGAAGATTGCAGAATTAGACACACATTTCAATTTTGATTGACAATAGTAAGAGTTCAGGCCTTAAAGGGATAGTTTGCCCCCAAAAATGTACCCACTATTCACTTGACCTCAAGTGTTTTCAAACCTGTTTGAGTGTATTTGAGTTTTCTTCACAAAGATAAATTGTTTGAAGAAAGCTGGAAACCTGTAAGCATTTAATTTCTGTAGTAGCAAAAACAAATACTGCGAATGTCGAAGATTAACAGTTTTTAAATATTTTCATTCGTGTTCAACAAAAGAAAGAAACTTATAGAGGTGAAAAGTGAAGGGTGAGTAAATGAAGGAATTTTCTTTTTGGGTCAACTATCCATTTAAATAAGGGTTTGGATATGACTGTATTAGAGAGTTCTGTCCAGTGGTTGATTTTGGTTACAGAGCAACACAGAGCTGAAAAGCTGAATAAATAAGATT